TTGCCTTCAGTCTTCCTTTTATGAGTGTGTTTTCTGTTGAAACTTATTTTTTATGTCTTCATGAGTACTTTTCAGTTGTTCCGCGGACGAGCGACGTCGTACAACCCCGTGTGAAGTGGCTTCAAGACCCAGTGATTTCATCATGAGCAATTCTGTTTATTCGAGTGAACTGTATGTTTCCAGTAGTTGCTTTCTCTTCGATACGATTTCCTGCTGGTGTGCGAATAATTAAATTACCAAGATCCGGCGGCCTTTCGCACACCAGCAGGAAATCGTATCGAAGAAAAAGCAACTTCTAAATTTATAGAGTCCACTCGAATAAACAAAATTGCTTATGATGAACTCACCCAGTATAGCCACTCGGGGTAGTACGACGGGGTTCAACGAAGTCGTGGAACAGCTGAAAAGTATTAATCAAGACATTAAAGAAAAGTATGAACAGAAAACACACGAATAAAAGCAACACGGCGCGAAAAAAAACATCGAAAAGCACAAGAAATACACCAAAACCAAGGATTATCGATCGGAGCGCGCCATCTGCGCCCAACGCACGCGTCATGCGCCAGAGCGCGTATTGACGCTCTTCACACTGTCGGTGCGGTCGGCGCCGTCGGCGCCGTCGGCACCGACCGCACCGATGCGAACTATGAAAGCAGCCTAAGGGCCTGTTCCACGTGACCAAGAATCATGCGCTGCCGAAAATGTATCAAGAAGTAATTAAAAACCAACCTCTGAGTGTGTATGGAAGTTTCAGTCGTCGAAAAACAAGGCGATGAACACGGCACATTATTTCTTTGAGTCTTGAGAAACAAATATTCGTGCTCTTCGTGCCCGCCTGCGTAGAATCCAACCACTCCGTCCATTTCTAGTCTACAAAGCGACATCTCACCAATAAACGGTCCGGTCATCTAACACTATGAAGCGGTAAATATAATAGGAAACACGACAAATAATTTATAAGTATGATCAGAAACTCATTATGTTTGGCAGCATGACATACCGAGATTTAATGTCATCCCAGTCGTAAAGCTTTCCGACTAAGTGCAGTCCACAAAGTGTCAGGCGAGGTAGATTCGCTTAACATATGCAAAAAGGTCGAGTAATCCTCACAGGAAATTGGAGGGAGTACACCAAAAGCCTTAAAATGACACGTGATTTTTGAGAACAAAACAGTAGCTACAACCACAGCAGCAATAATTTCAGAATAGGGAATGAATAAAAAGAAAAAGTGAAATAACTTACTAGTCTCATAGCTTCTTTCCAGGATTCCTTGGAACTTTTGCCACATTCTTTTTGCTCATTGCAGTGGCTTTGGAGTGATTTCAATAAACAGTGCCTAAAAATGCACGAATAAGATAAAATATGTTCAATTCAAGGCAACATAATACAATAAAGGAAATATTTACGGAACGAGAGTGCCCAAATAGGTTTAATCAGATGACTAACCAAGCATCTGTGACCTTCTCAACTGAGTACACCATTTGCTGTGCAACCTTATTCCATGGAATGAGCTTGTCGTACTGATTTTCAGCCTGGAACAGCCGGCAAAAAACACTGATTCAACGAATTTGTGAAATTACAAAAAAAAAACAAATAAGGCTCCAACTGCTGATAACTGCAACACAGATTGATTTCAAGCACAGAAACATCAGGAGGTATTCTTTTCCTTTCTTGGTTTCTAGAAATTGAGCTAGCTAGTTACAACGACGTTTTCTATATGCTAATAATGTAACTAATGCCAAACTAAATGGTGGTGGACGAAAGGATGGGCGTCGAAAGCGTAATAACAGGTGGGTGTGAATTGTTAGGACAATAAGCGACTTTTCCGCGTTTCGGAGCGCGATTTTTTTCGCTGTAAGATTACCAGGTTTCGCTGCGAAATCCCCAGGTTCCAATGGTTAATGGGCCTGGTACGGGTGTGGTTCACTAGGTCAGAAAGCAACTTTTTCGCGTTTAGCGCGCGAAACATTTTTCGCTGCCAACACTCCAGGTCCACTCATTATCAGCGGTGGACATACAGTTCATATCTCGAAGTCTGATTGGGCGTGTCACCGGAAATGACGTGGCAGCCACCGCACTTGATAGATGTTGTGTGGATAAAATACTCCGCCAGATATCAGCAAAGCGTGTTGGAAGCAGCTTATCCGCGCAACTTCTATCAAGTGCGGTGGCTGCCACGTCATTTCCGGTGACACGCCCAATCAGACTTCGAGATACGGACTGTATGTTCCTGCAGCTGAAAACGTTTCGCGCTGCGAAACGCAAAAACTAGCTTTCTCTCCTAGTGAACTACACCCGCCTGGTATTCCCGCAACCGAGAAATTTCGCGGTGCCAGAAGCGGAAGAGTCGCTCTCTGGCAGCGAAGACACCCAGTGACACATGCGCGTAATAGAATAACATTGCTATGCGCATCTGCGAGCCATGCAAATGGCGAAAAGGCTCGAATCAGAAAAAAAACGAAAAATAAATAGCGAACAATACCTAAGTATATTCACCTCTAATCGACACTTTCGTATAGCTTTAGAGACGACCCTATCAAAGGCGCAACCACTTTCGAACGAAGTTTGCTTCGTTACGACGACTAAAATTTGTAAATGTAGAGTACGAAAATTTGGATAAGCAAAAGAAAGCACACCGTAGTAACATGTAAAGCCAATCTCACCCCAAAGTTTTTTAAGAAGATAGTTAGGAACAGGCCCCGTCCGCTCCAGAATGTTTCTTAAATGATTTTGGCACGTATGCATGGGCAGTTTCATAAGCTGCAAGTACGAAGAATGTTCGAAGCCCCACAAACAAAACGAAAAATGATGAAAATCCTCCACCTACCTCGCCTATCTTCTTAATAGCCGACGCTGACATGCCATAGATCTTGTAGTATTTGAGCAGTTTCTCTGTATCACTCATCGTCCATTGGTGTCTTAATATAACGCGATTGGTGGAATAGTTCAATAAATTGAATCCATAAACTGAAACAAAGTAACTCTATTGGCGTGAAAAAAACAAAAGTCGGTGCAAAATAAGTTGAGGGAAGCAGACGCCGCGTGTGGCGCGCGAACGATCGCGGATTTTAGTGCAAACGGGGGAAATGCACCAATTCAGGAGGTGAGAAATGGGGCTGTCACTTGAGATGCGTAAGAAGCTGAGCGCGAGTTTACGCTCTTGTTACAGAGGGGGGCGAATCGCAGCAGCGACCGATCTCCCCTCCCCCCAACTCGCTTAGCATCAAAAAGTCTACAGCCTCAGCACCAAAATGTCTACAGATAACAAAGGAAGAATCCTAAATAAACAAATTCTGGAAGTGAAAAGTAACGTTAAGAATCAGAGCTATGTGAAGCAATCTCCTCAGCCGAGTCTCGATTCCAAAAAACTTCAATGGTTAGGACTCCTGTGCGGTCCTATCAGTATTTGCGAGCTTCGGGTCCCGACGCTAACGAGGGAAGGTCATCAGGCCGGTCCGGCCATTTGCAATGAGTCGTATACCGTTGAAGTCGCCTCGAGGCGCTGAGCTCAGAACTGCCTTCCTTATCTGCTAAACGATTCTTTGAACGTAGTTATAA